GTTCAGAGTGGGCCTGACTATGAGTGAGCCTGAGAATGAAAGAGACTGGCTATTGAAGAGCCAGATTCGAACAACTGTGGATCTGGATCTGAACACGAGTGATCCCAGGTATTCGCGGCAGAACTACCTGTGGTGGGAAGGGAGGAAGGGGGGAAGAAGGCGGAGACAGGCGGGAAGAAGGCGGAAGTAACCCACAATTGCGTTGGATTTGCAGAATAGAAACCGACCCGCGTCGAGCAACATGTCCCAGGAAGGGCTGGAGAAGCCGACTGGACCTCATTCCCAGGTCTGATGCTGACGAGGAGGGAGAGGAGAGGAGCAGCAGGAGGCGGTGGATGGCCCCCTCCCCACTGACCGCTCACATCCAACTACCCTTCCACCCGCTGCTCTCCCCATCCCCTTCCTCACCCCGCCCCGAATATTTAGGTCGTCCTCCCCCTTACCAGGAGCCGCGCCGGCGGAGGTGTCCAGCGCCGTTCCAGGAACCCCGCGAAGACCTCCGAAAGTGGATGTTTGTGCAGCCGTCCCATCGAGAGGGTGAGAAAGACGAGCGAGGATCAAGACGTCAGACGGTGAGACTTTAGATCTGCAAGCCGCGGGCTTGAGAGGCCCCGACCTCGTCCCCGGGGGCCGATCATCGCCCGAAGTCTGCCCAGGTCGGCAAAAATTAAATAAAAACGCCAGGATGAAACCACCAAAGACAGAACAACCCGCCAAACGACTGAGGAAGATCGGGGAGACGTAAGACTCGGGTCCGAGGGGCTCAGGTCGGCCCGACGGGGGCTGCCTGGAAACTGACGAGACCCAGCCTGAATCATTCGACGCGAGCTAGCCGCTGCAGACGTCCCACGGAACCTGAAAAGTCAAAATTCAGGGACGGGCCCGCCAAACGGAGTCGGCAACGCAGAGTCCTGGCGCTTTGGAGTCTCCGACAGGAAACGAGAAGGCTGGAGGAGGAGGAGGAGGAGGAGGAGGAGGAGGAGGGGGAGGAGGAGGAGGAGGAGGAGGAGGGAGAGAGCGAGGAGGAGGAGGAGGAGGAGGAGGAGGAGGAGGAGGGGGAGAAGCCGAGCGAGGAAGTGGACCTGAACGAACCCCGGGGCACCCTCCGGCCCCGGCGATGCATCATCGGCGTCGGCGGTGCGAAGCGACCCTTCGACACCATCTACTCGGACCCTTCGGTGGCAGCTCATGGGAGCCTCCCATACCATCTTGTCGGCTCTTTCGAACCGACGCCAATCGATGCTAAATCGACGCTAGTCGACACTATTTCGACGCTAATCGAGGCTAAACAGGCGCTACCTCCTCGACTCGCAGACGCTGATCGACGCTGCTCGACGCCAAAGACGGACTCACGAGGGCACACAAGGCTCCCATGATTTGCAACCGAAAGGCCCCATTTGAGAGGCCCAGGGCCAACAAAGATCGGGTCGGGCGAAAGGGGGGATAGCAAAGGGGGGGGTTGAGAATCAGCTCACATTAGCTGATTTGCCCGGCGCCTCCCGGCGCCAGAGGCGGCTATGTATCGAGGAATGGGCCCCTCGGTGAGGCCCAAACCAGCTGCATGCAGCAAATTTCGTACCCCCCCTTTCCCAATCCCACCCCTTTCGTCCGGCCCGAAAAGGAGTGGCGGCGGACAGGAGCGACCTCCGAGACACCCCCCTCAGGGCACCGTCTCGGCGTGGCGCCCGATGCCCCGCGCCCGCCCCCCGGGGCGGCATCATCCTCAACGCTCCTTCTGCTGCGACCTGCCGGGAAGTACCTCTCCTCCCTGGCCCCCAAGCTTTGTCATCACCGCCCTGTGCATCTCAGGGGAACGGGCAATGCAATTCCAACCTGCTCTAGCCCAGACCGCCAGGAAGACTTTCGAGCACTGGTAAAGTGCCCAACGCCTATATGGTTTTCACGTGTAGGGCCCTGGGAGACACTCGTCCGACACTGTTTCGGCACTCTTTCCACACTCTTCCTGGTGCTCGAAATGATTTCTGGGATGTGGTCCTTGAGCGCGATGGGAGCAACATAAGGCATGGGGTACAGTCAACCCGTAGAGTAAGGATGCGCGATAAGGATGCAAGGCCCTCGGAAGCCCATTTCGAAATTTTGGAGCGGGGCGCGATAAGCGAAAGTGGCCAAGGATGCACCGAGGAGGCAAGGATGCAAAGGGTACCCTTGGGAAGGCCGCCCGTCCTTGCTGTGCGGGTTGACTGTAGAGAGGAGGAGGAGGAGGAGGAGGAGGAGGAGAGAGGAGGAGGAGGAGGAGGAGGAGGAGGAGGCGGCGGAGGAGGAGGAAGAGGAGGAAGAGGAGGTGAGGAGGAGGAGGAGGAGGAGGAGGGAGGAGGAGGAGGAGGGGGGAGGAGGGGAGGAGGGGGGAGGGGGCGGCGGACAGCAGAGAACTCCGAGCCCCCCCCCCCCCGGGGTGCCGCCCCAGCGTGGCGCCCGGTGCCCCGCGCCCGCCCCCCCTGGCCGCGGCTGGCGGCGGCAGGAGGGCACCGCGGAGTCCTCCGCGGAGCCTCCGCTCGGGACGCCTCCGGGGAGTCCTCCGCGGAGCCTCCGCTCCGAGGGCGCCGCGGAGTCCTCCGAGGAACCGCCCTCTGAGAGAACTGTTTTTTTATCTCTTCAGGGGAAGCTTCGAGAACTCCTCGACAAGCCGGGTGACTCCTGAGCCTTCTGAGAAGGCCCGCCTCTCATCGCTTGCCCCCCCCCCCTCGCTCGCCCACGACCCCTGCGGGGCACGACACCGATGCCCACGGGCGTCGCCTGGGCCCCGCTGGCCTCTCTGCCCCCCCCCCCAGGAGGAGTAGGAGGAGGAGGAGGAGGAGGAGGAGGAGGAAGAGGAAGAAGAAGAAGAAGAAGAAGAATAACAATAAGAAGAATAATAAGAATAATAATAATAAGAAGAAGAATAATAATAAGAAGAATAAGAATAATAATAAGAAGAATAAGAAGAATATCCATAATAAGAAGAATAATAATAAGAATAATAATAAGGATAATAATAATAAGAAGAAGAAGATGGAGAGCACTGCTCCGAAAATGTATGCCCCCCCCGGGTGTGGATAGAGGCTGGTCATGGGGTCCGCGAACCCCCCTGGCGGAGCCTTCGCGCTCCGAGGGCCCCTCGGAGTCACAAGACAGACGAGCCCAAGACAGGGACAGCATCGGGCAGGGACAAGGCGGGGATCCCTGAGGCGCGGCCTTCTCCCAGGGCGTTCCAGAACGCTCCGAGAGCGCTCCGTTCCAGAACGCAGTGGAGCGGGCTGATTCTTCTCGGAAACGCCCGAACTCATCGTGGCGCTCTCTTGTCGGAGAAACGCTACCACGGATTACGGCTCTGCGGATCTGTCGCGCTGCGTCGCACAGTTCCACGGATCAGGGGGAGTACCTCCCCGAGACATGCGCCGCCTGATGTTTGGCGCCAGCGCGCGTCGACTTTGTAAGTATGGGAGCGAGACGCGCCGCTTCCCCACATGTTTGCGGTTCCTCGATCTTGAGGCCCTGCTGGAAGCCGTTGTGGCTCTCTCGGGGTCGTTCGGAGCCCCGTCGGCGCCATCTTGGAGGCAACTGGAGACAAGCGGCACGACCACTGCCAGCGCGAGAAGCCATGTGGCCCCACCTCCTCGAGGCATCCCGTCCCCAGCTCGGGGAGGCATTGTGGACCTTCTCGCTGGAGGTGGCACCCTTGGCGGTTGTGGTGGTGGTGCCATTTTTGTCTGTCCTCCGATCTGAAGAGGCAGGTGAAGAATAGAGAGGGCGGCGCCGAGTAGCGCCCCGCGCCTCTACTGGCGGGGGCATCCGATGCCCGTCGCCCACCCCCCCTTTCCACCCTCAAGGGTAACGATAAGGGGGCTGGTTCTCGGGTCGTAACCGCGAAAAATGAATGCATTTTTCGGCGGCCTTCTTGCAAGACCCGGGTCACACCAACACGGGTAACTAAACATTGTTTTCCGCGGCGCCCGCCGCTCAGCAACGACAACGACGACAGCTACGACTGTGACCGCGTGGGGGCGAGGGGGGAGGAGGAAGAGGATGGCGAGGTTTTAGGACCAGTCCTATTCACCGCCGGGTGAAAAGAGGGGGGGGGGCCAAAACAAGAGACCCTTCGCAGTGAATTCGGCTCTCTGGTGGCCGCGCGGGAGGATCCGGGCATCCCCGGGACCGCTCTTGGCGAGGTGCAGCCCCGAGGCTGGGGAGCTGCAGAGAGCGAGCGAAAACGCCCGAGAACCTTACCGACGAACGCGTCCGAGACCTACTTCCCCCGCCCTGAGCCTCAGAGGCCTCCGACGCGGGGTCGGAGTCGGTGGGGTCGGAGGATCGCGCCGCATCGCCGATGCATCTCCGATGCATCGCCGATGCATCGACGATGCACCAGCGACATCAGCGATGCATCGGCGACGCCGGCGTGGAGAAAGTCGGGCTCCACATCAAACCGCATCGTCGATGCATCGGCCAAGCGGCGTGATCCTCCGACCCCATCTAGTCAGACCGCACCCACCTGTTGGCGGCGCGCACCATGGGGTGGAGGGAAGGGGGAGGGCTTCTCGGAAGGAGGCTGCTCCTTGAATGCGCCGGCCCTCTCACCTACCTGTGGATGAAGCCCGTGCCTCCTAAGAAGCAGGGGTGCTCTCACCCCCCACTCCAAAAAAAAAACCGGCGTTTTTCTACACACCTTCCCAACGCCCAAATTTCAATGTTCAACGCGGTGCCGATTTCAATGTTCAATGTTCAATGCGGGGGTCCGGAAGGCTCACCAAACACCAGTTCCTTTTCGCACGGGGTTGTAGGAAACCCTCCCCCCTCCCCCACCACCCCCTCTGCGCGTGGCTGGACCTGGGATGCCCAGATATGAGAGAACGCGTTTCACGGGCGCTTGCCTGGGGAACATTCGGCGGCGCGTTTCGAACCGGATGGTGGCCCCCCCCCAAACATTCGGCGCCGGCGATCAAAACCAGGAGGATTCCTCTCCCCCCCACCCCCCCTTCCGACCCCCCCCCCCCCCTTCGGCGGCGGCGCCGGCGCTGGCGGCCGCCAGCAGCGCCCACGGCGGGGAGGCAGCGACGATGACCAGAGGCAACCCAGAGGGGGGGGAGTTGAACCTCCCCCTTCCCCCGTCTCCCCCTGGCGCCGGGAGGGGGGGGGGTTTGACCCCCCCCCCCTCGCGCCAGCGCCGGCGCTGGCGGCGGCAGCAGCGCCGGCGCTGGCGCCGGCGACGGCGGGTACTCAGTGACACTTACGACCACTACCACCACCACCACCACCACCGCCGCAACCCACCACCACCACCACCACCACCACCACCAACAGCAACACATACACCACCACCACCACCACCACCACCACAGCCACCACCATCACCACCACAACCACCACCACAACTCACCATCACCACCACCACCACCACTACAAAAACCCACCCCAACTACCACCACCACCACGACCACACCACCACCACCACCGCCACAAAAACCAACCACCACTACCAGCAGTACAACCCACCGCCACCACCACAAACCACCACACCACCACCACCACCGCCACCACCACCACCACACCAAACGTCCACAAACCACCGCCACCACCACACCCCACCACCACCACCACCACCACCACACCACCACAACCACCACCACCACTCACCATCACCACCACCACGACAAAAAAACACCACCAATACCACCACCACCACCACAACCTACCACCACCACCACCACCGCCACAACCACCACCATTACCAGCAGCACAACCCACCACCACCACCACAAACCACCACACCACCACAACCACCACCGCCACCACCACCAGCACCAGAACCACCTCCACAAACCACCGCCACCACCATGACCCACCACCACCACCACCACCACAAACCACCACCACAAACCACCACCACACCACCTCCAAACCACCACCACAAACCATCACCACCACCACCACTACAACCCACCACCACCACCACCACCACCACCACCACCACCATAAACCACCACCACACCACCATTTGGTGTCCGTTCCATGGGAGCCTGCGTGGCCCCCGGCAATGTCCAATTTTGGCCTGATTTGGACCAGATTTGGAACACATTTGGACCGGATTTGGACCAGACTTGGACTGGATTCGTGGGGGCTAGGAGAACGAGAAGGGTGAGGGGGAACAGGAGGGGAGAGGAGGAGCAGGAAGATGGGCCAAATGTGGCCCCCACGCTGTCCACATGCAGGGCAAGCTGATTTCAATGTCGCCGCCCAAGGCTCCGATGAACAGACATCGAACCACCACCAAACCACCACGACCACCACCGCCCACCGCCACAACCACCACCACCACAACAAACCACCACACCATTTCCACCACAAGCACCACCACAGCCACCACCACCACGACCACCACAACCCACCACCGCCACCAACACCGTCGTCCTCGTCCACGCTTCCCGCTACCGCCGCCCACCGCCGCAGGCGCCGGCGCCGGCGCCGGCCCAGAAATGGAAATCGTCGTCCGCGCCGCCGTCGCCAGCCGCCGCCGACGCGAACGCCCGCCCGAGGAGAGGGGAAGCATGGGGGAAGGGGAGGCGGGGGGTTCGAACCCCCCCCCCCGTGACGGGAGGGGGAGGGGGGGGGGGGGGTCGAACCCCCCACCTCCATCCAGGGGGGGGGGTCCGGCTTCACCCCCCCCCCCCTCCAAGCGACCACAGAACGCGCTCTTTCCCAGATATCCCCGCCTCCCGAACGCTGCTCCTGAGCCCGCTCTCGGGCAACCCCGCGGCGGGAGGGGGGGGGCAGGGCGGGCGCGCGGCGAGGGGGCCGGCGTCCAGCTTGGCCAGGCACCGCTGCAGCACGCCGTTGAGCTCTTCGCGGTCCTTCTTGGATGCCTCGCGCAGGACCGGGCAGCATCCCGCCGGGGAGTCGCATCGCATCGGCGCGTCGGGCCCCAAAGCCCCCTCGCCTCCTGAGGAGAGCCACGGCGGATGAGCTGCTGCGCAATGTTTGGCGCCGAGGGGCCCTTCCCCATCGGTCGGAAGAAGTAGGTAGAGACATGGAATTTGACCATAGATTGGGGGTCCGCCCGCCCCCGAAGGAGGACGGCAAAAGGTGAAGCCACTCGACCACTGAAGCAGGAAGGCGCCTCAAGCAGATTGGAATCTGGGAATCCCCGAACACCTGCTTTCAACGACCGATGGGCCTTGGGGCCACCAGTCCACGACGCAGGATGAATCGCCGGTCCGGGGGGGGGGGGTGCAGACCTCTGGAGGCCCACGTTACGACGTCGGCGGTCTGTGGATTGGGCTGCATCTCGGGCGCCCAAAAACATACACCACCACCACCTCCCTCACCCCGCTCCCTCTCCAAGGAAAGAGGAGAGGAAGAGGAGGGTCGAGGAGGGGGAGGAACCGACGTGGTGGTGGTGGTGTATATTCTTGGGCCCCCCAGCATCGGCACGGCGTCGAAGCCGCATCGAGTCGGCCGCGCCAGCAAGCGCAGCAGGTCTGTGCCAAGCTTCAGGCCGCATCGGATTGTCGGAGGATCGGGATCGGATCAGATTGGGCTGGCCGAAGTGGATATCGAACCAGATCGATCGGATCAGAATGGACCCTGCTCGCGGGGGGAGGGAGGAGAGCCACGGGGCGATGAGCCAAGGCAGGGTCCTCCGCGGTGGCGCGTCCCTCCGATGCCACCCAAGAGGCCCCCGATAAGCGTCAAAGAGAAGTCGACAATGGTCAAACGAGAGGTCCCTTAGACACCCCAGGACGTGCCCGAGAGGCCCCCAAGACTGTCTGAAAAGGCCACCACGATACCCCCGAGACAGCCTAAGAAACCCTGAGACGTCGGCTGCCATCCGATGAGCCACCATGAAGACCCCATGAGGCAGCTCCAGCGCCCCCCGAAGACCTCAAGAGGAGTACACATGCCCGAGAGGCCTCCCCCAAAAGAGCCTCCCGAAGCGGGCCCAGAGAGGCTGGTGACGGGCCACGCGCTGATGGTTTCGCGCTGAGTTCCGCTGCTTCCGCCTCTGTCTCTCGCCCTTCTCACCGAGCCTCGATCACAGCGGACTGGGCTGTGCAGCACAACAGCAAACATCGTTCTCTATCAGAATGTAGCATGCCAGGCGAAACCACAACGAACCACTGAACCAAACAGTACCGCTGACGGATAGGCACGTCCGCCGACACCCGCTTGCTTGGGGTGAGAAGGTATGTGAGGTAATTGGCTGCCTCCCTCCCCCTCTCCTCCTCCCCTGGGGGCCATACTGCCACTTGGAGGAGGGAGGCCGAGCTCGCCAACCAACGCACGCAGGGGGCCTCCGGCGGCCTCCGGAGCCTCAAACTCTACACTCCTTGGCCTCCAAAATAATCCAGATTTCGTAATAAAAGGGAGGGGGTCTGGACCCTCCAAGACAAGCCATTTCAGACCCCCCCGTGGGAGAACCCTCCAAAATATCGTCCCCAGACCCCCCAGGCCCTCCAAGATAGCCTGGAAGAGACCCCCCCCCCGAAATGAGACCCCCCTCCCTTTATTACGAAACCTGGGGTACCCGAGATGCCATCGAAGCTGGCTCAAGCTGGGTTCGAACACGCCGAGGCGGCCACAAGAACACCCAATAATCATGGCCTCAAGACGGCCCAAGTTTGGGGCGCGCTCCGACCAGAAACTTGAGGCGGGCCCACGCGCGGCCAAGAGCGCGCCACTCCCCTCTGAGCCGTCGCTTCCGCCCGCGAAAGGCGGCCAGCAACTTGCGCCTCCAGCTCGACCGGGCCGACGAAGGTTTTTTTTTAACCTGGGGGGCTCTCGAGGCTGCTTGGAGGCCCTGCATAAGGTGGTCGACTCCTTGGTCGAGCAGTCCGCACTCTGCCGTGGCGAGGGGGGGGCGGCTCGACCGGGCCGACGAAGGTGGCAGCCAGCGGCGGAGGGAGGTGGGCAGGAAGCCGCTGTGCTGCCCGACGCCGACGCCGACGACGGCGCCGACGCAGGCGGCGACGCCGCCGCCGCTGTGCGGCCGTGCGGCCAGGGCGCCGACGACGCCACAGCGAAGCCGCGGGGGCGCCGCGCCGACGGCGCTGTGCACTGCGCCGCGCCACGGCGAAGCTCGTTCCGACTCTGTGCGGGAAGCCTTGGCTCAAAGTTGCCGGCGTGCCTGAGCCCAAGCTCTTCGAGCCACCTTGACTCGGTATCTCGGAGAGGGGGCGCCGGATGCCCGCCGTGCGGCGCGGCGCCGACGACCGACGGCGAGCGGCGGAGGAGGAGGGGGCGAGGATGGCGGGAAGGAGAAGGATGAGAAAGAGGAGGGGGAGGAACTAGGGAGCCCACACAGGACGTACGCGCCCAGCTATGTACATGAACACGGCCCCTCGATCTGCGAGACTGGCCGCGTGATACGAACTTTCGGGCAATGCGTACTCTCGAAACCGGCGTGGATTCATGTACGTGTACGTCCTTCTTTCGCTCCTGAGGAACGGAGCGGATCGGATCGGACTCGAGGATTTCTGGGAGCCTGCAGGACCACCGCTCGCCCGCGAATGGGCCGAAGCAGCGCCGTGCGGGACCCAGGAGGGGCGAGGCTCTCGTGGCGGCCTGCCTTGCAGGCTGCCACGTTCTCGGACGGGGCCGCACCGGCCCTCCGGGGGCAGCACCTCGGAGGAGGAGGAAGAGGAGGAGGACGAGCAAGAGGAGAAGGAGGAGAAGGAAACGGAGGAAGGAAGGAGGAAGGAGGAGGGAGGAGGAGAAGGAGGAGGAAGAGGGCCTCGAGCTCCCTGGACAGCCCGTCGTTGGCCTCCCGGAGGGCCCTGCCCTCTTCGGCCGTCTGCCGCCCCTCCTCCTGCGAGCGCGCGAGCTCCTCGGCGCAAGGCCGCAGCCGCCCGTCGCCGTCGCCGCCGTCGCCGCCGTCGCCGCCGTCGCTGCCGCCGCCGCCGTCGCTGCCGCCGCCGCCGCTGCCGCCGCCGTCGCCGTCGCCGTCGCCGTCGGTCTTCCGTCGCCGCTGCCGCCGCCGCCTCCGTCCTCGTCGTCGTCGTCGTCGCCG